CCCGCTGCCTGGTGTGGCCGCGGAGAAGTTTCCCGCCCAGGAGTTGGTGCCGTTGCTGGTGAACCTGTGAGCGGAACTGGCACAGCATTCCCCCTCCTGCCCCGGGAGAATGAATGGAGCTGGTCCGCGGCTGGGAAGCGAGCAGCGCGGGGCCTGCTGACCGCACCGGGGAGAGCACGGCGCTCGGCTGGCTGGAGGTGTTCTCCAGCGGGAACTCCCTCAAGGGAAGGGAACGTGCCATATCGAGAGGTCACGCGTGGCCCAGTTGGTGGCATTCTTTAATAGAGATGTTACTTCGTGAGTTACTAAGATTGCAGTACCCTTGGAAAATGATGGCAGAGATGAAACGGTAATGTTCTCTGAGACTAACGCAGAAGAGAGATGCAGCTGCTACTGACCGAGAGATTAAATGGTCATAATCTCTGAGACTGAAGCAGAAGAGAGGTGCAACTGCTATTGACTGGTTAACGTTACGTTTTAAATATTTTGTAAATATTTTTTTGTAAAAAAACCCCCTTGTTTGTTTCCTGAATCGCATACAGCGCGTTGATGAGTCTGCAGGCGTGTCGGAGGCGTCCTGAGCCGGTCTGGTGCTGGGCTGTGTGGGAAGCTCCCTGCGCATGGCAGCGAGAGGCTGAGCAGGGCAGCAGTAGTGAGACTGACTGACTGACTGCGACCAACCTGTGTTAGCTCTGAGATGGAGAATTAGGCAACGGCAGCACCTACGTCCAGTTGTTAATCCCACGTGGTGGTCTGTGGCTGGTATAGAACAATCTAAGAGATCTCGTGTTACTCATGTGCCTGGCACCCACAGAGTTGAGGAGTCTCAGGAGAAGCACGCTTGCTTTCATCTCTCGGTGATGACATCTCTGGATACCTACTTGAAAGCTCCTACTCATTTGGAGCGTATTTGAGATGGATGCTCGAAAGGAAGAATACTGAATTATGTCCGTTTTAATGTTTTCTGGGTAAATGATTTTGAACTGAAAGAACGCAAGTGAAGAAATGTTATGCTTCTGTTGTCCAGACTACTGAAGTCTTGTTTTATATCAGCATTGTTCAAGGATTAAAGAGCAGCAGAGCAGGGAAATAACTCTTGGAAACTTGTTCAAAAAGGCTCGTTGTGTCTGGGATTGCTGGCAGTTGCTGCTCTTCTTACAGTAAAGAGGGTTCGTGGGTATCCGAAGCAAGTTCACGTATGTGGGGTATGGCGAGCTGAAGTTGGATGCACTGTGTGTATTTGGTGGGAAAATAAGTCTGTTTGTTTGTTTTAAATTGAAAAAGGTGCTTGTACTGCCAGTGTGCTGAAGTGGACTTTGTGGAAGTACAATCCCCTCTACAAGGCCTCAGCATTAATAGGTCACGACCATCAGATTTCATCTGCAAATACGCCCGTGAATAATGTCTGTACCCGTTGTGTAGATACATTGATATAACAGCTCGAAGGCTGAAGGTTCGCAGCGTTTCATGTATTTTGCCTTCTGTGTGCTCCAAAACACATTGTTTGTATGAACTTTTCAGCTTCTGTTCTAGTGGAGCTAGGACTTTGATGGCCGGGTAAGTTTCTGGGCATGCAGGTCACAGTCGCTTGCCGCTGCTCCACCTCCCCTTCCTGGGTGGAAAGCAAAGTGGCGGTCAGTGCTTGCGCTGCGTCTGTAGTTGCTCACGACGATCTCGCATGCCTGGTGTTAATGGGCATCGCATTTCAGTCATTCCCATTTCAGCGCGTTACGTTGGGTTAAGCATTTACAGAATCACAGAATGGTCAGGGTTGGGAGGGACCTCTGTGGGTCACCCAGCCCAACCCCCTGCCCAAGCAGGGTCACCCAGAGCAGGCTGCACAGGACCGCATCCAGGCGGGACTGGAATATGTCCAGAGAAGGAGACTCCACAACCTCCCTGGGCAGCCTGGTCCAGTGCCATTTAGTTCATTGTATTATTCTGCTGTTAATGTGGTATCTTTCCAAGGGTTTGCAAGCGTTAATTTCAAGAAATCCACCGTTGGGTGAAGAATGAAGCAACTCCTGTATGCATGTATGTTGTGAAGTGCATTGTAGTTGTCTTGGATGAAAACTGGAGGAGAAAATCCACCATATTTAACACAATAAATTCTGCAAAGTGGTTCCTGTGATGTCCAAACCATTAGGATGCCAGCTCCTCAAAACCGTTCCTTTCCCTTTTGTCCTTGTGTTTGCTGAAGTCATGTGTGTGTCTGGTAGGAGAATTTATTGCAGGAGCAGGTACGGTTTAACAAGGGGAAGAAGTTGTTAAACTGAGCTTCAAGCTACCTGTTTTCTGCTCGTAAAAATTATTTCACTGTTGTCAGCTTTATCTGTTGAAGTTATTGAACAAAATGAATTAAATGGGATGCAATATAGTATTATCAGATTGCAATAATTTTTAGAGTGTGAGAGACTGGGATGACTTGCAGAAGTACATCCCATCAGGCTGTTCTGCAGAGGAGTCCCTATTTTAGCAGAAAGTGAAATACTATCAAAACAGAGTCTGACTGACTTTTTTGCATGTTTTTCATCTTTCAGACCAATGGGGCATGGTCTTGAAATTGACTTTATATTAAATATTTAGATAATAGTAATACCTTGCAGCTAGTGGTCTAAGACAGTGTTGAAATCTACTTACCTAGCAAGTTGCCGTTTAAGGGCAACTAAGATTTCTTTAGCACAAAATCTGAAATATCAGTGTTTACACTCATCTTTTGAGTGCTTTGAGGAGGAGCCAAGATAGCTGTATCAAATTTGTGACAATAGGCTTGGCAGGCTTTGTGGGGTTTCTCTGAAGAAATCAAACCAAAGGCTTCTAAGGCAATGCAGCAGAGAGATTCAAAAAAGTTCAGCTGTTTTATTGTTTGTGTTTTATTCTGTTAATATTATCACTCTCTCCATCCTGGGTAAGAAAAGCAGCAAGAAGATATCTGAGCAGACTGTATTCTTGCTACCACTAATTCTTCCTCTGTTTGTTAGAGGTGGGTTAGGTGGGCTGGTGTGAAAAAGAGGAGACACATTCACAAGTATTTTGGGTATGAGGAGAGGTGTGATCTGAAGATGGGTGTTGAGGCCAGAAATCTTTAAGCCTTACACGACTGTCTGAAAAAAGCTACAGGCTTGGTTTTCCAAGTGTTGGGCAGCCCTCTAGCTCTGTCCCTAGCAAGTGGCTGGGAATCATGACCTCGAGGAAGGGTTGTGAGAATGGATGGACAGTACGCTGCTTAGGCGTTTCTGGACCAAACTCTCCAGAGTGATCTTTTGGTGTGTTGTGTGCTGAGAGGCAAACTAGAAGGGGCTTTGAATGGCTTCGGATCTTTCACAGAATTTCCTTCCGGAGTGTATCAGAATGGTAGTACAGAGCAATGTTAGATCAAAGTATGAACAGCGGAATAGAAGAAATGCGGTGTAGTTGATCGAGTTATTTTTACCTGAAAGGAGACAACACATTGTAGATAAGACTACAGATGTAATAAATATTAACCGAACTGTATCAACAGGTAAATGAGGTTGTGATATTCTATAGCAGTAAAACTGATGTAGCTTAAAGCAGTAAAAAATATTTACTATATTGCATGTTGTCTTGGGATCAATGAGACAGAATCTGGTCAGGAAACTAAGTAATCCTCTTAGGAAATGTTTCCTTTTTGCTTCCAATTCTCAGGTGTCCTACATTAGCCAAGACTGTGAAGAAATTCCGGAATTCCTAGGAAGAAAATATGGACATATGGCAAAAAGGCTAGACCTTAGTTTCAACTTGTTAAGGTATGTGCAATATCGAGATTTTCAAGTGCATTATGGGGTACCAGCTCCAGAAATAGAATGTCTTTTTTTCCTCCAAAGTAGAAACATACATGTATGTCAGGTACATTTAGTTGTTATCAGGAGAGCAACGCTATTTTACAAGTGATGTTTGTTTCCTTTTCCGGCACACTTGGAGCACAAATAACTAGGTGAGTCTGGAAATTTCTCGTGTTAACATAAATGATGCCCAGTGAGGGCCTTGTGGTTTGTTCTCTGCTCAAAATGGAAAATAAGCATCATTGCCTGAAGAAGTGAAGAATGGGATCAGAAGTGAATTGTTCTTAACTGTAACACAAGTAAGTGCGCGCTTCTCTCCCTTCTTTTCATTTGTAGATCTCTGGTTATTCCCATGAATGATTTGTAATGCTCTTTTCCCAGGTGATCTGTTTTTGTTGTATGATTTGATTTTTGGACAGCTGTGGAGTTAAGTGCTAAAAGTAAGTGCAGTTAGAATTTATAAATAAATTCTATTTATTTTAATATATGGATTGATTTAGAATTGTGTAGTATTCCCACGAGTTCTTACAGTGTAGTTGTCTGTTTAAAAAAAAAAAAAAAGCATAATTTTTCAGTTGTAGGGTTGGACTTTTTTGAGTTTTCCTTTTATTTTGTTGAGGGTAAGCTTAGAGACTGCTTGTGAGGAGGAAGAACCTAAAAGTAGTGTGCTGGTGCCTTGTTCTCCTAGGCGGAACAACCACTGGTTTTACTTTACTTAAAGCTCCTATAAATGTTATCCTGAGCCGCTGTCGACTCTGAGTGACTGATTCCTACGTGCCTTCTTTCCTTCCTTACCCAAAACACCATCACTTTGCCTATTTTTCAGGAGGAGTATAATTTGGTTTTATTGTGGTTTGGGGAAAAAAAGTGTATCAAAATCTTTTGTGGGGAAGCGTGAGGGAAGTGCTAGTGTTTGGGATAGCTGCAATCAACGTTTGATGTGGGATAGCTTGCTGTTGTAAAGCTGTAAAAGTATTCTCAGGCCAGAAATCAGATTCGGGGAAAGGGGAGAGGTGGTTTTCTTTGTTTCGTGGGTATTTTTTTTGGTGTGGGTTTTTTTCTTTTTTCTCTTTTAGCTTAGGTAAGCTAATGGTAAATGTGATGAGAGCAGTAATGTTTTCTTGTTTGAGCTGTGATAGGTATACAAAGCCTATAGGGACTAAGAAGGAAGAGTTTATTCTACAATAGCTGTGCAGACTGGTCAGTGCTCGTGTATCAACACTGTGCCTGCATGTTATAGACTCAGGTAAGATGCAGAATAAAGGCCGTAGCCTTAAATGAGTGTGAATATAGAAGAGATGTCTTGGGCAGCTGTTGAAGGAAATGTAGATGGTAAGATCATTGTCATCTTCCTTCAACAAATATTATTGCCTGAAAAATCTGACAATGCTGTAGTATAGTGATGAGTTTTATGATTTTTATCAGTGAATGCTTAATTTGAAAAGTTTAGTTCAGTGTGTTTCTTTCAGTGGGGAAGAAACTGTAAACTTAAGGTGCCTTTAAAAATGAGTTTGACTTTTTTAGAAAAACTTGCTCTCTGTTGGTAAAGGCCTAAGCTGAGTGAAGAAGACTGAGGGTGATCAAAATCTAGCAAAAGAGAAAGAGAATATTGTGCTTTGCTGGCACAATACTTATTTGCAGTAAAGATGCTGGTTTTCATTTTGATTCATTTTTAGATGACTGTTATTAGATCATTATTAGATGACTTGTTATTGGACTGTGTGTGTGTTCTTTGAAAGAAAAAAAATATTTCAGTGGTCACTAATTTTTTTAGCCTGTATTTAAGCCAGAGAAATGCTGAAACACTCAGCAGTTACCTGTTCTCAGTTTCAGGCAGTAAATAAGTACTTACCAACCTTTTTTTAAGGTCATTTTGCACATGGGGTTCCTGTCTCCTGTCCTCTGTAAGTATGGCTGCTGCCACGCGTATTTCGGGGAAGGAATCATCCTCCTGTAGCAGGCAATAAATTTTGTCACGTTAAAGTGTCAATAGAATTTCTGCCAACAGAACAATTACATTAAGAATATAAGAAATTGAGAATAGAGGGGAGATTTTTTTTTTTTTTAATTTTGTGGGCAGCAGTATGTGCAGTCACGTTATGTGATACTGCTGTCGTGGGTGCAGTTGCATGGCGAGAAAGAGAGAGATCTTGCCGTGGCAGTAACGTGCTCAGCTGCGTGGTCAGCTGGCAGAAGACTCCTCTTGCGAGGCGGTGCGGTTCTTTCCGAGCCAGGCATCGCGCATGGCTACAGATCGCAGGTTTTACTGTGCGCGCACACACAAGCGCGTGCATCCGTGTGAGAGACTCTTACCAGAAAGACATACTTCTACTGCACGATACGGATGTCTCAAAACTTGCTTATGCGACTGATGTAATGTAGTGCTTGATTGAACAATTGCTTTACTGAACCGTACTGATTTCGATACCACCATAATGTAGATGGCTTTGTTGCAAAGCTCAGGACAGAGCCAGGTAAGTTGTTTTGCCATTTACAGCTTTCGGCTGTAAATGTGTATTTCCAGAGGCTTGTCCAGCTGTACTGGAAAAAGGGTGGGAAGACTGGCAGAGGTGCTGTTAGTAAAATGGGAAAGGAGGAGTCGAACATGCTATATTTTGTGACTTACACACAAACAACTTTTGCCAAGCTTGTCCCTTAATAACATATTTCAAGAGATGCTGTTGTGTTTTTCTGGTAAATATATATATAGTTCAATATATTGTTTTGTACAGGCCAAGGATTTTCTCCCCTCCACCCCTCTCTTTTTTTTTTTTTCTTTTTGAACTTGTTGAGTTGATATGCATTTGGATAATAATTTTTTTTAAAATAGGGATATCTTCTAACTAATTATTGGTTGTTATGGTACTTCTGTCTTTTTTTTTTTTTTTCTGCAAGGAAAAGTAATTATGTGGATTCAATGTTCTTATGTGTGGTGGTTTTGTAGCTCAGATTTCCCCAGTTTTTTTCTTCTTGGATGTGATGTCAACACATAAGTGTACACGGGACCCGAGAACTAAATTGGAGGCGGACAGGGTTGTAATTAGTTCTTTTTTATTAGCAATTTAATACAGAGGAAAATGTATATTTTTCACCATTTTTTTTCCTGACTTCAGAGCTCTTCCCAGGCTAGAGCCTGTTCCTCTTTATTAGATAAAAATTGGGGCCTGTGTAGATGCTTAATTGTCTTTGCACCAGATGTCGTAAATCTAAATGATCACAAAAAGTTGCTCTTTAAAAGACTCGTCTTTCTTGTTTGCCTGTTTTCAAGAACTAGTATCTCTCCTTGCTTACCCTGAGCGAGACCTGGATCCACCTCTCTCTCTTCTGCAGCCAAAGTCAAGCGACCATTACCAGTCCGTAATGGTTACGCGTCTCCCTTTTTCTCTGGGAGGGAGAGGGAAGACGGAGGTGAATGGCAAAAGGGAACTTTTTATGGAGACGTTGGGCAAAAAGGAGGAGTAACAGCAACTGGTTGTGTATGAGACAAAGGGGCAAACTGGTGTGTCCTGAAAAGCATTCTGGTTGTGTAATCAGCAAGATGTGGTGCTGCTGGATTGCCCCCTGTTTGTGCCTCTGGCTGAGGGAAATCCTGCAGCCCCGGACCACTGTAGTCCACTTATGAGTTATTTTTTCTCACGCAGCTTTCCTTACAGATTTTGTTGAAGTGGTTTCTAATGTCTTTTGTTTCCTTTTGGGACTAACGGGCGGGTTGCGAAGAAGATGGAGCCAAACTCTTGTCCGATGTCCAGCAGAAGGACGAGAGGCAGTTGTCACAGGTTGCAACAAGGGCATTTCCAGCTGTTTGTAAGGAAAGGCTTTACAGTGAGAAAGGCTGAGTGGAAGAGGTGCCCAGAGAGGCCGTGGAATCTCTGTCCTGGGTGGTATTCAAAGCACAGCTGGGCCAAGCCCCAAGCAACCTAACCTGATGGTGAAGTTGTCCCGCTCTGAGCAGGGCCTTGGACTAGGTGACCTCTAGGTGCCCCTTCCCACCTAAATTACACCCTGATCCTGTATGGTCATCATAAAACGGCCGGAGTTGTAGCAGCTCTTTGGACTCGATATTGGCAGTTATTTTCAGCTGTTTTAGAAAGGAACTGTTTACACCGTGTATTTTCAGTAAGGCGTGTTGCAGGAGCAGGTATGTTTTGCTTTGGAGATCTGCTCCCAAGTTTCTCTTGGCAGCTGTATTTGATAGCCTTCCCTGAGAACAGAGTACTGTAAAGGCCACTATTTTGTTTCATAACATGAGGAAAGCGTTCCCTGGTTCCCATTTAATGAAAGCAGAGAGCATGGGAAGGAAAAGTCACTGATGTGCCAGTGTTAGTGTTACTGGGAGGCTATGCTGAAAAGGATTTCAAGGTGGATTGAAAAACTATTGTTGATCATTGGAAGTTAAAGATTTCGCTGGAAAAAATAAAAAAAATGTAAATAATAATCACTGTTGGAAGAAAGAGAGCAATAAATAAGTAGGAAGGATGTAATGTAGGTAGGGAATAGAGATGTGGATGAAATACAAAGTATTTTTTTTTTTTAGATGCATCTTGCTGTCTGGTGGAGAGGAAAAAAACCCAAACCTATTCAAAGGTTCATTTATTTATCTTGGATAACTTTGTTCCAATTTTCTCCTTTCACATTAAAGGCTAAATGCACTCCAGTACTTGAATAACAGATGTCAGTGTTTTTGTACAAATAGGTGCTGTGTTTTTATAAATAACATCTACAGTCTGATTCACAGAGAAGTCCGTCTTCTAATTTTGTCCTCAGTAGTTTTAAACATTCGAGTTGTTTTCCTTTTTCTTGCAGAGATTTCTTCTGGGTCTAAGCTGTGAGGCGAAAGGGAGAGTGAATCTTTAATCTTGGCCAATGAGGGAGGATTAATCCAATAATTGTGCTCACGGAGATACAGATATCTCTTCCCTCTCTCTAGGGTGCAGATTACTTCTGCGAGAAGCATGAATAATTTG